CACAGTCCATTACAATCAGTGCATATAGAAATGAAATAACATAAAACATACTTCAGCATCTGCTCAGCATGTGGGTTCGGAGGACTTGGGGAGATGTTTGACGAGCACTTTTCAGCAGAGTCCCCTATTGTGTTGATGGCTTTGGGGGCTTTCTGCCTCTTCTCCCCTTTGCTGTTAGGGATATTCACTGAACCTCGATGCACTTTAGGCAAGGAGCTCTTGGAGGGTCTTTGAGCTTTGCTGCTCTGATCCTCCTGAGGTAGGTTTTCAGTCATTTCTAGCATGGACGTAGAGTCCAAATGAAGTTCACCTCCACGGTGCTTGGGTCCTGGAGTTTGTGGATTTGTGTCTCTTTCGGGTCTCGCAGGAAGTCTGTGGATTTGAAGGCAGTCTTCCATGTTTTGTTTGTCCTCTGAGGTGATGGAATCGGATGGACACTGGTATTGCGTCGGCCTAGATTTGGCCACCCTATATTTGGGATCTGTACAAAGACATTTGTCACAATTTTACATTTTTGAACTTCATCACGTTATTTTTATTTATTTTTTAATGCATTTTATAAGAACGCACGTCGAAGACTGACACGGATGAGATGAAATTGTTGAATAAAGTTGTTATTTTTGTTTTCCTTGCGCACAAAAAGCATTCTCGTACCTTCATAACATTATGGTTGAACACATGGACTATTTTAATGATGTCCTTACTACCTTTCTGGGCCTTTAACATGTCAGTTGCATTGCTGTCTATGCAGGGTCAGAAAGCTCTTGCATTTCATCAAAAAAATCTTAATTTGTGTTCTGAAGATGAACGAAGGTCTTACGGGTTTGGAACGATGTGAGGGTGAGTTATTAATGACAGAATTGTCTTTTTTTGTGTGTGAACTATCCCTTTAAACTATTTAACTTTTTAAAAAGATAGCTACATATTACATGGTACTTTAAAAGAAATGATACATACCTTCCATCCACAATTTTGGGTACAGGTGCATGTAAGGAGGTAGGGATTGTTGCAGGACATCCATGTGGAGGTCATTCTCACTCTGAACTGATTTCTGAGTGCGCAGCTTAAGCATACTGGAGAAGTAGCATGTTACATCAAATCCCATATACACTAGAGGATAACCAATGCTGGAAGAAATAATAATAGCTTGTGTTAAATTACAGTATGAAACACAGCTGGTAAAATTAGTGTTAATTTAAAACCCCACATCACATTCAGCTCTAAAATAAATTGCCAGTCAGAACCTACCAGTGTGCAGCAAATAGATGGGACAGATTTGCATGAGGGCTTTTCAGGTCCCGCAACCGTAGAGAGGCCTCCATATACACTAAGAGTATCCATAATGTCACAGTTGACATACAGATTCCCTTTTCTGCAAATAAATTATGTATATATGTAAATGAATGTATATATTGTTTATATCCATAATACTTCCAAGGGCACAGTGGCTCTGTAAGTGTTAATTTAATTGCAACCTGATTAAAAGCGTTTATGGCTCACCTGTATGCCACATATAGTTGAGTAAGACATATGTGCTGGCTGCAAAAAACAGCCAGTGTAAGGGTACAAAAATGAAACAGAATAAGTCCAGGGTAACTGCTGCACACACGAAAACAACACAGATGGCCTGTAATAGAAAAGCAGAGGTTTGTTGGTTTAATATCTATTTTTTCTTTGTAAATATGAAATGAAAAAAAATTTCAGTAACACAACATAATGAAAAAGAAAATGGAGCAAGAAAATTCATTTATAATGACAGATGGGGTTTTGTTATTATTTTAAAAGCAAACAATACAGCTGAGTGTGCAGAGCAGAAAATTGCCTACCAGTCCATGACAGTGAAATGTGGTGTAGACGGTCCCTAGAAAGAGCCAACATGGCCACAGGTATTCCAGTCTGAACTCCAGAACAAAGTCAGCTAACAGCACCAGCATCCAGACGATCATGAACTTCAGAACAGAGTACGCGCTGAAAACAGGACATTTAAAATGACTTACCATTACATTGTTTTTAAAGAAAATGCCATCAATGTCACAGATACAATTATGTGAATTATTTTTAATTAAGAAGAATAATATAAAATTATGATAACTATATAAAAAAATAAAAATTCATCTTTCTAAAGTCAAAACAGACATAAACATAAGTCCTTATACAACTACAAAACGCGCGTCCTCTGTGTTTATACTTTTTTTTTATAACTTCATGTTGACAAAAAGACAAAAAGGAAATATGAACAAGCATATACGTGAGATGTAAAGGCGCAGAAAGTAAGTTATTGAAGACGTTACAATCCATGTTTTGGTTGCACAGTCTATTGTGCTCCATTCCTTTGTTCAGGCTTTCTGCGCTCCTCATCCCTTTGTGTTTGGTAACCATGGCAACGTTTCATCTTCTGCATCAGCACCTAAACGTAGAATCTACAGTGTTGCCATGGCTATTTAAAGAACAAGAAACCGTTTCAGGAGAAATCTGCGCACGTTCATTTCACTATGAAGAGTATAAACACAGGAGGTTATTGTCCAGATCACTACACTATATAAATAAGAGACGGGGTCCGTTCAGATACACTGCCGTGTTTACCTCACTAGAAACAATAGTCTGGAATCAGCGAACCTGATAAAATACAAAATGCACCAATAACTTACGAACACAGCTCTGGATACTATTAAATATTATATAAATGTATAAATATGCATAATTTAAGGTACAGCAAAATAATCCCTGAGAAAAATCTTACATAAACGACATTCCTGCGCGCATATTGTCTAGTCAGAGGCCCTTGTCAGTTTGTCTGTTTTCAGACAGTCTGTTTTTCAATCATGAAGAAATAACAGGACTACTTGTTAGCTGACGCTGCATCAAATCAAATCACATTAATAATAGCTAGGTTTACTAATACCAAAACGTGAAATAAGAAAAATACTGTAGCATTTCTTTATATGCAACGCTAAATTCAATTGGAGGATATTTTTGTTATTAAAATATTTTGTTAGCAACATGGCCCGCTGCACTGTTTTTACACCAAATGTTATAGATTCGGCCTTGTATGCATCCATTAAATCACAGCGAGCATTAGCTCGGAATTAAACCCCGATTTGTTATCATATCGGGAGATGCTGTTTGTTTATTGTTTGCGTCAATCCGCTCAGCGCGCTATGAATAGCCAAGCGCGAGCCATTCAGGTGAAAACGAATAAGAGCAATAACAAGACAACAAAGCAGCGCGCGCGGTGTCATACCTTTCGGAAATCTTTTCTGTGAGTTTAATCTTTTTCATTTTCCTTAGCCTGCCTATATCCATGTAGCGTTTCTTCATATTATGGCTTCCAGTCCTCCTGGCTATTTAGTCCATTAAACAGGCAATTGTAGTAAGACTGGAGGTCTCATTTACAGTAACCTGAGCAGAAGCGCTTTGTGCGTTAGTGGAGGTGGATGTACGCACGCTCGAGAACTTCACACAGAACCCAGCGCCACGACGAGGTGCGTGGAAGTACATCTGCGCTGTCTGGAGAACAAGAGACTCGGAAAAATGCTGCAAAAACATTGTGGCCAGTGATAGATAGATGCGGTTTAAATTTTAATCAAAATAAATGTTATTATTAACATTATTCATTGATTTTTTTTTAATTAATTTCAAACGATTGTTACGAGGTACTGCTACTGCTCAAACAGACAGAGAGACAGATAGATAGATAGATAGATAGATATTAGATAGACAGATAGATGATAGATAGATAGATAGACACAAACATATATTAGATAGATAGATGATAGATAGATAGACAGACAGACAGAGACATATATATTAGATAGATAGATAAGATAGATAGATGATAGATAGATAGACAGACAGACAGAGACATATATATTAGATAGATAGATAAGATAGATAGATGATAGATAGATAGACAGACAGACAGAGACATAGGACCATGTGATATTTCAGTTTTTCTTTTTTAATAAATCTGCAAAAATGTCAACGATTCTGTGTTTTTCTGTCAATGTGGGGTGCTGTGTGTACATTAATGAGGAAAAAAAATTAACTTAAATGATTTTAGCAAATGGCTGCAATATAACAAAGAGTGAAAAATTTAAGGGGGTCTGAATACTTTCCGTACCCACTGTATATTAGATAGATAGATAGATAGATAGATAGATAGATGATAGATAGACAGACAGACAGAGACATATATATTAGATAGATAGATAGATAGATAGATAGATAGATAGATAGATAGATGATAGATAGACAGACAGACAGAGACATATATATTAGATAGATAGATAGATAGATAGATAGATAGATAGATAAGCTATAGACTGACAGGCAGACAGACAGATATAGATATAGATAGATAGATAGATAGATAGATAGATAGATAGATAGATAGATAGGCTATAGACTGACAGGCAGACAGATATATTAGACAGATAGATAGATAGATAGACACAGACAGACAGATCTATATCATAGCTGTATTGTTAGGTAATAAAATAAACTGGATGTAACACTACAAAGCTATAGGTCTGAAACACAATAACGCTTCCTCTTACTTCCACATGATGGTCTTCTTAAAGAGGAAATGGCACCTTATTTTCAGATAGCGGTGTTGTATAGCCAGTCAGTTTTACTAGGTGAACTACTAGGTACTTCCAAGAGTGCACCGCACCACTTTCCCTTCCTTAATCAAAACATGCTGGATATTTTGGAAATATAATGCTGTTCACTATTTTGATTTTGCGGTTTGTTCTCCTCACACCAAAAGGTACCAATATCCTGATTACAGACACATCTCAGTTGTCTAAATGCCTTATCGAACCCTTGTGCACGTGGCTTGAACTGGGTTTTCACTAGAAAGAGAATAAACAGAAAAGGGAGCTTGGAATTTTACAACCTGGCACCTATCAATACAGCAGTTTTCTCATTTTTAAGGCTAATTATAATGTATGCAGGAAACAAATTAAGCACATTTTGAAAACATTTGTTTTTTAAGGTTTTTTTATTTGATGCTTGTATATTATGCATGTATATAAATCACACTGTCATCGACCATCTGCTTTCAGTTTGTGAACAATTTTGAAATGCTGAAAAGATTCAAGAAGCTGTCTTTGAAACATATGCAACATAAAGCATATAATTCTGTCAGATGAAAAATGTATGCAACACAGTCAAACTATAACAAGGATAACAGGCATCATCCTAGTAGCCAGTCATCTATATATTTTAGGTGCATCTGTGTTTGTGCAATTGTGCTGAAAGAATCTCCACATCCATCTGCTCCCACAGATTGTAAGGTCTGCTGTCAGATTCAGACATTTATTTCTGGGTGATGGGGAATGAATTCTGGTCCATCAGTTCTCCTACTCGCTCCTGAAGAATCTGCACAACTTCAGCTAGGATGAAAACATGCATGTCGTCCAAATCCTGGATGATAAATTTCTTCCCCAATGCTGACGTCTCGTCCAGATATAGAAGAAATTGCTTCATAGCTGGGTCACTGTTTCATATTTTAAAAGAAGGATCATAAATGATGGTGCACTGCTGCATTACTTTATTTTAAAAGTGCACTCATATTTTTTTTTTGATACCTTGTGCCAAAATTTTCAGTTACAGGTAACACTGAAGAAACACTTTAGTCAGTCAACCACAAATATTAATAGATAAGCAAGTATATAAGCGGATCCAAGATCAAGTGAATGGTACTTCTGCTGGTCACGCGATGTAAAATATAAATCCATGTAAAATAAAACGGCTTTAGACTACTTATCTCTTCATCTACTGTAAGTCTATATGACTTCACATAGTTTTTTTTTTAATTATTGTTTATTTCTAAGTTTAACATTTTTAATCATAGAAAAAATACTGAATGCACCTTTAAATCGTTATATGTAAAACTTACCATTCAACGAGAACTCCTTTCAAGACATTAACCATTTTGGACGGGATGTGTTAACACTTCTGTTTCTTCAGTTAAAGCCTATGTATCTACAAAAGGCAAAATTGTTCTGAACTGAGAAATAATAACAAAAAGTTAGCAGGTTAACGCTACCGTGAATGTTTGTACGTCACAAATGTTTCACATACTGTGCGTATCTCCAAACATATATTCGCAAATCATATACATCTAAAAACAAGCAGTTTTTGAAAATAAAAAAAAAATAATTCTTACATGATTTTTATTGTGTTTATCTGTCAATTGTCAATTTGGTTTAAGCCTACAGTGTCCACCGTCTACTAACAACGGTCTTCCTCTAGTAACAGACTAATGTTCGATCTGTGAGCTCTACTGCACTCTGCTGGCCTGGAGCGCACTGTTGCTCTGAAAAGAAAAGGCTGCATTATAGCTATAGTAAAAGTATCTGATTTAAGTGGAATATAAAGTTAGGACACACAACTTTATTCAGTGTGATAAACATTTGGCAATAATTGTGTCTTGCACATACTCAACATCAAAATAAAAGTAATATGGTCCTATGCAAGTACTACAATTAATCCATTAGTACAAAAATAGTGGCAAATTACAGCCAGCATCAGTACCAACCTGTGAGTCTGAGGTAGGGATATAAAGAAGGCTGGTGAGTTAAGAAAAAGGCTAGTTTTCAGCTTCTTCCAAGAAAAATAAATAATATAAATACAATGGACTTTCTATAAATGATTATTTTAAACATAATATACTTGATACTCATTTCAATTTGTTATAGCTTCCGGTTAAAATAAATGTCGAAAACTGCTCATTCCAAATTACTGAAATGAAATACAGTACAAGGCAACGGTGAAGTGGGCAAAGCACATTAAAAGTTAAACCCAGAGGTTTTAACAAAAAGCATATTCATAATGGCTTGATTGAATTAAAAAAATGAAAAGAAAAATCCAGTTGCAATTTTAGAACTTCTATTTATTCATAGTTAACATTATCTTTTAAAATGTAATTGTTGAACCCTCAAGAGGCAATGAAATGGCAAGAGACCGGTTTTGGACTGTGGACTTAAGAGTTCACTTAATTCTCTGTCCTCCAAGAGCATCTCGAATAAACTGTAAAGTACGTTTATAGAGAAATGAGTCTTTTTTTTCTGGCTTGCAGGTGTTGAGGTGATCAACGTCCACCTGGATGAGGTCCCCAATACCCAGATCTGAAAGAGCAAAAGGAGAATTTTTGTTTTCTGATACCAGGTACCTAAAACCGTCAGTTATTATGTAAAAATGATACATCACGATGCTGCTTGTTGTTCAATTATCCTGACCTACCTGCTGACTGCGATGGAACTACCAATATTTTGAGCATTGGCCCAATGTAGGTTGGTAGAGTTTCTGCAAAGCTAAGGACCTTGAACTCTTGTTCCTTTGCAATGTTCAGGAAATTTTCATTCAAGTCCCGTAACGCTGGAGAGTCTGAGTCGAAACAGGTGAACAGAAAAATTATGTGCAAATTAGATTTAGAATCTTAATCTTAAGTGGAGGAATTAATATTGCATTAATATTTAGGGAACAAAAATAAATCACACTATACCTCTACATAGTTCTTTTACTTCAATGGAGGGAAACAGTAGGTATCGGACATTTACAGAATACTCTGCCATGAACGTGCCGTGATGAGGAACGCTGTAGAACAGAATTCCCTTTGTGTTCTTGATCAGCGGACTGAGATCAGGATCTTTAGAGGCATCTAAGAGCATCTTTTTCACAAGTAAACCTGTGACACAAGTTTTGATTTAGAGTTACAAATGGATTTTTTAGCTACAAACAGGGCTGCACAATTAATTAAAATACTGAATCACAATATGGCCTTGTGAGATTTTTAAACCTCTAAAATTAATATTAAACTCCCTGTTGAAACTAAAATTACATTTTTGTTATACATAAGCAGTCGCAATTTAAAATAGTAAAAAAACATTGTATTGCAAATAATTTAGACAGCTACACAAATATGATGTAGGAAGATTTAGATCTGACCTTAGGCCAGCATTCAGTGTAGTCCTCTCGAACCCCTTCCACCTTGTCATCTTCCGCCACATCAAGATCCTTTTGACGCCAAGTTTTAAAAGCTGCTCCCAAGAGGCCGTGCACAAAGAGAACATCGGCTTTGATTGGCTGACTGAATATAAAGGATGGAAGACATAATTAATCCTCACTAAACAAAAGACCTTTTCATACATATTCGGCAAAGATGCATTAAACTGATCAAAAGTTAGACTTTTATAAGCTTTTATAACGTTACAACAGATTTCCCAAAAATATTAAGCAGCACAATAGTTTTGAACATTGGTAAGATGTTGCTTGAGCAGCAAATCAGCATATCAGAATGATTTCTTAAGGAGAGTTGGGTGCTGGTTATTCTAAGACCCACCATGGACTAACCTCCCATACTGTGGGCTACCCACACCACAGGTCTGACCCCTACACCTGCATCCTTCAATTTCCTCAGCAGTTCCTGACTTCTGTAGGCCAAGGACTTCCTGTAAAACACAAAAATCAGGGACAAACATGGATATTTGGTATGCTATGTTGAGTTAATAATATAATTTAGTAATGCACAGCACACATCGAAAATTGACTGTTTACCTTTGGTTTTCAGCAGGACACTTAGCCTTCCAGTCACTTAAATGGGTGTCATACTCAACAGACAGGATTCTGAGGTTTGGACAGTCTGCAGCCAACCACGACTGTGGAAAATGCAAAAAAAATAAATAAAATCACTGACTTTAAACTTCAGCCAGACTTTCAAAATACCCCTGAGGCCCTGTAATGCCATTACACTGCAAGTAATATTTGGGTACTCATGAGCTTCTTTAAAAAAAAAAAAAGTTAGACTTTTATAAGCTTTTATAACGTTACAACAGATTTCCCAAAAATATTAAGCAGCACAATAGTTTTGAACATTGGTAAGATGTTGCTTGAGCAGCAAATCAGCATATCAGAATGATTTCTTAAGGAGACTGTTGAAAATTCAGCTTTGCCATCACAGGAATAAATTACATTTTAAAATATATTACAATAAAAACAGTTATTGTAAATATGTTACAATACTACTGTTTTTACTGTATTTTTGATCAAATAAATGCAGACTTGGTGAGCATAAGTGGAAGTTCATATAAGCATGCATACTTAGTGCGACATTGTGGGTGCAATATGTAAACACCATCCTGGTACTTCTGCCTTACTGCATCTCTGTCCAAATTGGCTAAAGCACGGGCAGCATGAGATGCCTGCATGATGTGTGGTGACTGGATCATCTCAGCCAGGACAGCCACCCAACCTAAAGGTCAACCACAAAAGAGAATAAAGAACTACTCTTTTCAACATAAAATCAGTTATTCTAAAATATAAAGCTAACCTGACTGTACTATGGCTGTGTGCAAGCTGTCGTTCAGGGTGAGGTTTCCAATAATTCGCACAATGTTGCGCTGAATTTTCGGAGAGTCTCTGCGAAGCTGGTAGACTCTTTGCAAAAGCAGCAGTCCTCCATTAGCAACAACGTGGTCACAATGACTTTGGACCTGTGAACAAAGAACAATTAAATGCTTTGAATTGATTCGTTTATTTAAGTCAAATTCTTGATTAAAACCAATCAACTGAAGGTACACCTCAAGAAGATCTACAAAACATCACTCTACACACACAAGCATCCTGTCTTCTTTGATCATTGCTTACTTCCTTGCTACACAAATACATGTCACTTTGCAGAGTTTGTAAACCTTCACCTTTGAGTGCTGCACCAGGGCCTGCAGGCAGAACGTCTCCACCTTCTCAGAGGGGGTGGAAGTCAGGCTTTGGGCATAAGGCAACCCATTTCCTCCAAAACACCACAGCCCTCCCTATAATCACAGACCAAAATGCACAGCTAACACAGTGACACTTTTATATGGATATAAATTTGAGTAAAATAAGTACAATGGTGCTTAAACACTTTTTCAGGATCCTTGATTCAAGAAGTGTTTTTTTCCATTCATTTTCCCATAGGGAATTTAAAAATGACTTGGTACATGGTAAATCGCAATATTACAAAGCCAAAAAAGTATTCGAAAGAATACTTTCTGAGGAATAAATACACACAAATATTTAGGTAGTTTGAGAACGTACATGTAGGTTATTGTTAAACAAACTATGGAGATTTCTTAGGAACTGTTGCACTCTATAGTTTGACTATGTATGTCTCACCCGTTGAGAGGCTAGTGATTGGCTGCTCTCTCTTAATGCCAGAGAGGTGAAGTACTGCACACACTGATCCACCTCCGACTGGGGCAGAGATGCCAGTAACTGCCTAAGCCCATCTTCAATCGATATATCCTATAATACATGCACAAAACTTTAGCACAGATATCTGACATTACACAGCAGTTCAATTTGGCTATTGTCTGAATGATAGCTACCCACATCGTCAGTATGCGGCAGTGGAGGTGGAGGGAGAAAGAAGCGCAGGTCCACGTTAGGCATGCGGGCGAGAGCCACAGCTGTGCGATGATCTACCACCTGTGCTGCAGTCTGGTACTGATAATCTGTGATGGACAAGACAAAAGACCATTCAGAGCCATTCAGACATAACTCACTGAGTTATAGTGAATTATTTTTCTTTGGTAGGCAAAGGGGTCTGCGCAATAGAAATAGATTTTGCTGAGCAAGAGCAACAGCAAGTTTTCAGTAAATTCAGCAGAACTTGACATTTTATAATAATGAATTGAAGTGTGCTGCCATCTCTCACCCTGCCAGTGGTGATTCTGGGCCAGTTCCTGCACCGCCTGCTGTCTAACGGCCCGGTCGGCAGAGCAGGTTTTCTTCAGCAGCACCCATAGCGCACATTCATGAGGGTCTGCGTCTAGATGACTGAGATGCTCTGATATAAACAAACATCAACATATGCTTATTTCACATAATTGCAAACACAGAGACATACTAGAAATGACTAATCAATGTTTATTTATAGAGCACATTTAAACACAACCGAGGTTTACCAAAGTGCTGTACAATGAATAAAATAATACCAATGAATTAAAAGGGAGCAAGATTAAAGAGGAAATTAAATCAAGTAAACAAGCAATAGACAATCAGCTTAGTACGAGAGAGATCCAAAATAAAATACTTAAGTAATGGTAAAAGCCAGAGGAATATATATGTCTTAAGATAGGATTTAAAAGCAGTGATGGATGGGGCCGGTCTAATGTAAATTATGTAAAAATCATGATTTAATATGAAGTCAATGATACAAAAAGTTGATACGAAGAGTTTTTTTTGGCAAAAGTCAAATGGAAACAGATGCCTTCAGTTAAACATAGGGGGAGTACAGGACTTCTGATCATCATCACATTTTTCTATAGTCTAACAGTCTACTGCTATTGCTTACTCTGCTAAATTTTTTATTCTAAATGTACACTACTATTAAAGGGTTAGTTCACCCAAAAATGAAAATTTTGTCATTAATTACTCACCCTCATGTTGTTCCAAACCCGTAAGACCTCCGTTCATCTTCGGAACACAAATTAAGATATTTTTGATGGAATCTGAGTGCTGTCTGACCCTGCATAGACAGCAAGGGTCCTTACACGATCAAGGTCCAGAAACGTAGCAAGGAGATCGGTAAAATAATCCATGTGACATCAGGGGTTCAACCGTAATTTTACAAAGCTACGAGAATACTTTTTGTGCGCAAAAGAAAAAAAAAAAAAGACTTTATTCAACAATTTGTTTCCTCGTGCCACGCGGATACGATGTTTTCGTTCAAATCAAAGCATAAACGACGTAAACAATGTATCTGCGTCGCACAGCTGACAGAAAACAGTATACGCAATTTACGTTCAGTGGATACTCTCCAAAATAGCACTAGGGTGATGCGGAGGAGACGAATTGTTGAATAAAGTCATTTTTTTTCTTTCTTTTGCGCACAAAAAGTATTCTCGTAGCTTTGTAAAATTACGGTTGAACCCCTGATGTCACATGGATTATTTTACCAATCTCCTTGCTACGTTTCTGGACCTTGATCATGTAAGGACCCTTGCTGTCTATGGGAGGGTCAGACAGCTCTCAGATTCCATCAAAAATATCTTAATTTGTGTTGCGAAGATGAACGGAGGTCTTACGGGTTTAGAACGACATGAGGGTGAGTAAATAATGACAGAATTTTCATTTTTGGGTGAACTAACCTGAACTAAGGTGTAGAGTCAATAAGATAGTTAATGTTTTTTTTTTTTATCTTACTGACCCCAAACTTTTCACACGTAGTGTATATTATAAACTACACTTCAGCCTCAAACCTGGTGCCATGTATGCTGCGATTAAAAAAAATCAGAGTGTATTAGATTCCATATGCAGAAGAACAGAACAGACAGTAATATACCTGGCCTATTTAAAACAGAACAACATTCCATGTCAGTTCCTCTTTGTGCAGATACAGGTGACATCTAGGTCAAAAATACTGTCAAGTTAACTTTCAACAGAAAGCAGATGTTTCCTGAGATGCAATAACTACGTATTCATAGTTGTGTAAATACTGTCATACTAACAGCTGTCTGAATAATTTTTGGTTGATTGTAATCTATTACGTACCTTTCTATCAAAATTATCTAACGTTATCAAGATTAATTTGTTCTGACACAGTTTAACTCTGAGATCTTGTCATATTTTATTACCATTTTCTAAACTAAACTGTGATAATGTGAGAAATGTTGAAGGTGTCTGAATAAATTTTGGTCTGACTGTATCTATTTGATAAATGAAGTTAACCAACTAACATTATACATACACTTTTGGTTTCTGTACCCAATATTTAAAAAATGTACAAATGCAATAAAAATATCGGTATCGGTACTCGGTATCGGCAAGTACCAAAAATAAAAGTATCGGTATCGGGCGAGTACTGGAAAAAGTGGTATCGGTGCATCCCTAGCAATAACCATACTGTCCCTAAGTGCTTTTTCTAAGCATGTCCTCTATTATAACCATGCTGTTTCACACAGTGCCTACAGTCAACAAATATTTACTTTCAATATTTTAAAACAGGCACCAAGACTTGTCAATGCCATCAAATAGAGATGAAACTACTCACCATCCAATGGGAGAAGAAGAACTCTTGATGAAATTTCAAGAAACTTTCTAGCTGCTTTATGAAGTTCCATCCTGGTCTTGATAGTAAAGCCTAGAAAAGAAATAAAGTCTGTTGTGGGCAATCAATAAATTTGTATACATTAACTGTATACATGAATCAAAATACATGAATGGGCTGTTTTAATGTCTAATTGTGCAAAATCTCAAACAATACAATCTACAATATACTAGCAAAAAATAACATCTAATCTAAGGCATAAATACAAAGGTCCTGCAAAAAAGAACAAAAAAGAAAGGATGAATCGTTTATGGTGTAGTATTCCTCAGTTGCAATTTGCTTTCGAAGAATAAATGTAAATGTAAATGCAAATGAATCTTTTGGCTCACTGATATTTACACACTCTCTCAAGCACAAACACACACACACACACACACGTGGTAAAGATTCCAGAATGTACCAGAAGCAAGGCTCTCCTGTTCTCTATTAGTGGTGTGAGTCAGGTAGATGTAGGACTTGTGCTTCTCCTGTAGTATGGCACTGGTGTCGATAGTGACGGCCTGGTTCAGAGTAACCACCTCGTATGTGATGAAAACACAGCCTCTGTGTAAGCAAACTTGATAGAGTCAGAATGTGTTTCTGGAAAGGGTAACAAACCTGGCTTAGAAGATACATCACTTTTAACGGCTGCTTCCACTGACATTCTCTGTGTATGTGCTGCATGATACTGTATAATATAATTTTATTGATGGCTTGTTAAATAAATGCCAAAAAATAAAATAAAATAATAAAAATAATAATAAACCTACCCCAATACTATTGCTCCTGTCACTTTTGCTACTTTTCCTAAAGACAAAAAAAGAGATGAAGAACAGCATTCAGAATTATTCAGTTAAGCATTCAGAATAAATCTGTCAATTTATGAACTATATAAGGACCCATAGGAAAGTAGTAGGACAAAAAATACACATTTTTTATTTTATTTTAATTTAATTTAATGTTTTAAAAATCTCTTTTGCTCAACAGTGCTGCATTTATTTGATCAAAAGATCATAGAGTAAAAACAATAATATTGTGAATTTAAAATTACTGCTTTCTATTAGAATATAGTTAAATGTAATTTATTGCTGTTTTTACTGTCACTTTAACGCATCCTTGCTAAATAAAAGTATAATTTTCTTTAAAAAAAAAATGGTATAGCCCCTTTTGCACCGTAAGTTTATTAATAACTACAAAATCTATTTTATTTTATTTTAATCTATATTATTTTAATTTTATGTTTATCTTTATAAAGTTACTTTATAAAGGGTTTTTAAAATGTATTTATACGTCCCAAAATTACAAACAATTGTAAAGAATTTTAGGCCCTAAAATTAAAGTTAAACTTAAAGCGGTTTCAAAAGCAAGTGAACTGCCTTCCTAGACAGCATTTTTGGGCATCATGAACACCATAAATGCTGTGTAGGTAGGCATGATGCCAGTAGGTTCAGAGTCTTACTAAGGTCTCTCCATGGCAGTGCTCTCTTCACAGCAGGTCCGGTGGTGCTCAGCCTCCGCACGCGGATCATTCGCAGGGCGGACGCTGACATTGGCGGCTTCACGTGCAGAAATCCGACGATGGCACACATTAATGTTGGCCAGAGGGCCGGTGAGACATGTCTGTCCACTGTTTATGACTGCTGGCGATTTAAAGTAATCTTCTCACGTCGATTATAATAACCTAAATACTAAAAAATTAAGAAAAGAGGTGGTGGAATCATGACATGCTAGCAGTCAACTGTTTTTGAAACAGTCAACGCACTTCTTTACCTATAGAAACAGCTGATATTTATACTGCTCTAAAATATCTTAATTTGATGTTAATTCCTCATTTGATATGGTGTAATAAGCAGTCGGCTTGTATGTAAAAAGCGAGTTAGTTGGGTAGTAACTTATTCTAGCGAAATGCATTCTCTGCGCCCAAGACTGACATTTAACGACTGAAACTGTACGTTAAATGTGCACTTTACCTATAAAAACATTCGTTCCTTCCAATGAACGCGGTATGATAAATCACTTTTGACAGCAAACGTAAACAGGAACTGTTTTCAGATTGAACGCACATTAACGTAGAGCGTCATTACCGTAAGTAACGCAAATATCAGTGTCACGCGTCAAAAATGTCCTACCGTAATTAATGCGCACACACATCGTTAAGTGTAATCACCCCTACCTTGTTTAGCAGGAAATTAAATCATTCTATCCTCTCCAAACCGCTATATAAATTTAACGGTAATATTTCAGCACAGTAGCAGGACGTAAACACATTTCTATAATTTTCATGATATCTTTTTGCACTGGTGCAAATTAACTTAGACATGGCAGCTTCCATCCAAAATGCTTTGCTGGAATCTTGACAGGATAAACACTAAGACCTAGAGGAAACCTATCTGTCAAAGTGCAGATGGCACAGTTAGCATACATTTTAACCTGTTGAGACAATTCCTTCCTCTTGTCAGGGAAATTCACCACTGGCACTTACCCATGGGTGTGAAGGATACCAGGTCACTTCCAGGATGTGTGTGCTCTAAACCCTCTGTAACACCTCTGTCCTTGGTCTGCTCATTCCTCGGTACCCGTTTTCAATGATAGATCATGGACATGTGTAGCTCTCCAAAATGGACAAATTAAAAAGGCTGTGTGACTGACATTCTTCTGTGGAACACAAAAGAAGATATATCTTTTGTGTTCCACAGAAGAAAGTCAGCAGAAATAAAGTGATGGCGACATAAAGGTGGTTAAATAAAGACAGAATTTAATTTTTGGGTGAACTATATCCATTTTATGGCAAGTGTATAAAGCTTTCTATGAAGATGCAGGAATTAAAACATGCAGATGCAAAAAGCTATTGCAAAATGCATTGTGTCAGTTTATTTTTTTGAGTACAATTGTGTTGAGAAATACTTACAATGATTCCAAAAGACTAGAGTTCACAGAAAACAAACCAATAAATACACAATCTATTGAGTTTGGTGCTAAACGATTTTAAATAGTGTTTGCAATAGAGATCAGTAATGCTTATTACTAATCCCCATGCTTATTACAACCTTCAGTATCTCTTACTTTCTTTCTCTCTCTGTTTATCATGTTTTCTCATTTCTCTCTCTCACTCTTTACAGACATATTCTCTCCCTGCAAAAATATAGGTCTTTTATCTTTACTAATCAATAAAGCAGACCTGTAGAAACCAAAGTCATCTCACTCTCTCTTTCAAACATTCTCTGTGAGTATTTCAGATTGACCTCGCACAAAATAAAGATTCCAAAAAGAGGTTTTCACAATGATGCCATAAAAGAACTATTTTGGTTATATTTGGTTCCCCAAAGAACCTTTCATGGAACAGTTCTTATCTTAAAAGAACCTTTTCTTTTCTTTGTGAGAAGAACATAACCTTTCGTTCAATGGAAGGTTCCCTGGATGGTTCCTCATGGAACCATATGCCAATAAAGAACCTTTATTTTTAAATAGAATACAAACAAACAAACAGAAATATGCAAATATACACACATTGAAAAACTGGCCATGTTTTAAGATGTAGGACATCCATATTGCTTTCAGCTGTCCAATTTTTTAGTCCAAGTCTATTAATACATTTATCTTCCTCCATCACTGTAGCATCTCCTCTTCCTTCACGTGGTTGTCTCCTGATAGGCTCGTATGATGCTCTCATAGGCAGGTGGTGGAATCTGGCCTGCATGAAAGCCCCTTAGATTGCTGTTGCCCCAGAAGGAATCCGGCCTGGTTCTGGCCCGGGGTGGAGTGACCATGGAACTCACAGTGCTGGTGGAGCCAGCCGCCCCAGGGCTGGTAGTGAGAGTGGGGGTCCGTGGCAGGCTGCCCTGGGAACCCTCTTCTGCCTCACGAGCTATCTGGCTACACTGAAGAAGAGGATGAAAAGTAGAGGCCCGGAAGCTCGACTTGCGGCCTGGTGAGTCACCATAGTCTATCGGTGAGGATGAGGTTTGCCGATGGAAGGAGAAGGCAGCGCTGGCCAGACTGTTGTTGCTGCGTCGGTCGTAGCCGCTGCTGTGTCGACTGTAGCCTGGCCGAGAGCGCGGCGAGGATGAACGGGTGGTGGAGCGGGACTGGTGGATGGGTACACGAGTGATGTTGGCTGAAGCTCGTCGACGAGACATCCAGGTCAAGATCATATAGACCAGAGCTCCCAGCAGAAGACCAACAACCATAGAAAGACAGAAGGCCAGAATCACATCCCCTGGAAAAAGGAAAGAAATAAAAGTGGTAAAAACATATTTTTAAGCAAGCACTCTGTGGCCACAGATTAGTTCACAAATTAGGAGGTAACCATAGCAGCAGGAGCGTCATCAAGATCAGTTTTGGACGGTATCACGTAAACATTTAATTTTTAAGATGCTTGACGCTGTTTGGCAAACTGCAGCTAGGGGCGCCAAAATACAGTTTGCATAGCGGGAGACGAACTTCACAGAAAATTACTGACAGAAATTACTTTAACATGTCGATCAGCCTGTAAGAATAATAATTCGCTTCTGGTTTTTTTTTTATGGAACGTGCTGTTAAACGATTGGTTCCCTGTAATCCTTGAACAAGGTTTTTATATATTTCAAATGGCTAATGAAGTGTTGACAGCGTTCTACTCCAATGACAGAAATACTTGTCTCTGTTGTAGGGTCATTGAGGAGAAACTATCAGGAGATTGAAGGTCAGTCAGGAGCGCCTATCCTGACAACTCTAAGTGGGCGGGGACAAATTCCACAATAGAAGGCGCACCTAATGTTTTCTTATCCTTTACAGTTAAGGTGAATTAAATAGTTTGCATTTTAGGAAGCTTCCTGTTATGGCATTCCATTGTCTACAGAAATACCAGTTTCATTAGCACACAGGGCTTCTGTCTGCCACAGGCCTTTGAAAATGACAATACTTTGAGTGAGAATTTTGGCTTTAAATTTTAATTCCTCAATTAAAATTCGTTTTAAGGGTATAATTAGAGTATAATCTAAATAATTCGAGTATAATTATTCATAGATAGGAGCCAGAGTTGTTTTAGTAATGTATGTGATTGAAGCAGGCAAATTGTAGCCATCTTTAACCGCAGCACCTACAGGTAACTATTCTACAGATTATTATTAGTATTATAAGAATATGACATCACAAACTCTTTAGAAACTTGTGTGTAAAATAATGTGGGTGTTTATATGCAATTTTCTCCCTAGGTGAAAGGAATCACAGTCCAGAGTGAAGGATCATCTGGAAATGACATTTGGAAAGACCGAATGGAAAAAGCTGCACACTGGCGGTGTTGTTTTTTTATGGACCACTTTTGCCAATATCTTTTGCTGCTAGTTACTACAGTCTGCATTTCTGTTTCTTAAAAGACTCGACACAGCATTTTCTACACTCTCCAGATTTTTTTAGAAGTACAAAGTTGACTTTGTAACACTGTGAGTTAATTTGTGTGTATGCAAGAGCGAACTCTTTATAAAGTGTGTAAATATGGTAAAATATCTTACTCGATCCGAAGGACTCCAGTATCTTCACAATAGGATGAGTGCTGTTATCCGCCATAGCTCCCTCCAGAGATACAGGGGAGACGAGAGAGGACACAGTCTCTCCCCTCCAAATCTTTTGTTCTTTCACTCTTCCTTTTAACTTTTTCTTGTGTCTCTCTCTGTGTCTATCCAACTCCTCAATTCCAGGGACCCTCCTCTCTCACTTTCTCTCTGTTTGTGTCTCTTTTTCAGTCCCAGACTGCTCAGCACTGTGGCACACAGGATCCTCTCCAAGGCCGGGGTCGCTACTCTGTTGTTTGTGGAAAAGCAAAGTCTTCACTTCACATTTCCTGCCTTTCCTGCGTAAAATTAGCAGCAGGCTGTCCTTATCTACGCAGACCAGGGTTCCTGTGGGATGGAGAGGAAAGGGAGGAGGGTACAGAGAGGAGGAGAGTCAAGGTGTACGTGAAATCATTTGCTACTATCATTTGTCGCCTTTCCCCTGGCCAAAATTCTTCATATTTTACTTCTCCTGATTTCCTTTTCACTTCCAGACACTTGGCATGAACAATGTAGGCTGTACCATTCTGTGTCACCACTGATGGCATTTTGCCAGTTTGCAGTGGCAAAGAGCTACACAATTCATTTCATCCTCTGATCAAAAATACAGTAAAAACAGTAATATTGTGGAATGTGATTACTTTAAATTATTATTATTATTATTATACTTTATTAATAAAAACAGTATTATTATTTAAAAATATATTAAATTATTACGATTATTATATATTTGAACATTTTATTAATTTTAAAGGGGTCATATGATGCGATTTCAAGTTTTCCTTTCGCTTTGGAGTGTTACAAGCTGGGCGAGCATAGATAAGATCCCTAAAGTTGCAAAGACTAAAGTCTCAAACCCAAAGAGATATTCTTTATAAAAGTTAAGACTCGTCCATGCCCTCCTAAAACGCCTCGTTTAAACACGCCCCCACATGTCTACATCACTGTGTGGGAAGATTTGCATAACGCCGCCCAAATGTTCACGCAAAGAAAGAAGGCGTAACTTTATTGTTGCTGCCACCGCCGCCGCCATGTTGTGAAGACGCTGTGTGTTTCGTTGCGAAAGCGAAAATACTTTGTTTGGCCTTCCAAAAGAGGACACGACTAGAAATCAGTGGTTAAGTTGTATTTACAACACTGTTCCAGAACAGTTCAACCCAAATATTCGGATGTGTGCAGCACATTTTATAGAGGACTGTTTCCTGATCCTGGTAGAGTAGACCACAATGCCGGCTGTTCTGACTCACAGAAGTACGTTTTCATATTTAAAGAATTAGCCACTGATGATTCAAACGTGAGTTTTGAGTAGTGTAGAGTAGTGCTTGTTGTTTGTCGTTTCTCCGACAACAAAAAATCAGACATGGTTTTATGTTTATGTGGCGTGATGCAACGCAACACGTAAAAAGACAGTATAAGTCATTATAATAAGTAATTATGTCC